TGATATTGGCAGATGGTGTAGGGGAGGCAAGGAACTGCGGAGAGGAGGGGGAGGGAGAGAGGAGACAGGAGAAGACAAGGAGCGAGAGATGGGGGCGATTGGAGGCGACGCGCCGGTGCAGTGGGACAAGGTGGATGGGGCCGAGGTGGCCAATGGCGGCGGTGGAGGCGTTGCGGGAAGGCTGGAGAAGATACTGGTCTCGGTGAGGCTGAGGCCGCTCAGCGACAAGGAGATTGCAAGGGGGGACCCGGCGGAGTGGGAGTGCATCAACGACACTACCATCATCTCCCGGAGCACCTTCCCGGACCGGCCCACTGCTCCGACTGCGTATTCATTTGGTTAGTCCTTTGCAAATCAGGCTTCTTTTATTTATTCAGTTGGTCTTCTGGATGCAGCATTTCATTATCTCTGCATGTTCTGTTCAGAAATTGGCTGTCCAACCGCTAAATTCAATTTGAATACTCATGTTCAGTTGTATTTTGAGTGGGAAATGTTCAAGTTTCATAGTCTATCCTTTTGATATTGTTCAGAATTCGGAATATTTGTCTTACCTCCATTTTCCCAGATCATCAGTTGTTTATCACTATAATTATTACTGTCGTTTGTTACTAGCAGTGAAAACACCTTGGCTAAGTTGGTTTTGGAGTAATGGTATGAACAACATGAAGTGACTCTTTCAGTGTAGCAAGATGGTCCCCTAAGAGACTATTTTATCATAAAGAAACTCCCCTGAAATTTAACCGTAGAATTTCATTGTAGTTGGCAGATTTTTATCTGGCTAGAGTACAGATAGTCAGTGATGCTTTACTTTGCTCTTTTCACAAGTATGCACCACAAAGTCCCTTACTTTCCAGCTATGTTGTTGTGTGCAACTTCTTTGACACAACTCTGTTCATTTGCAGATAGGGTATTTCGTTCTGACTGTAATACCAAAGAAGTATATGAGGAAGGGGCCAAAGCAGTTGCCCTCTCTGTAGTTAGTGGCATTAACTGTAAGTCAACACCTGCTTCCTATCTTACTCCAATTTTTTTTGAATCAAAGTATTCCATGAAGTCACTGAAATGTGTTTTCTTTCCCCCTTTATTTGTTTGTTACAGCAAGTGTTTTTGCATATGGTCAAACAAGTAGTGGAAAAACATACACCATGACTGGAATAACGGAACATACAGCAGCAGATATCTATGATTACATTGCCAAGGTAACCAAATAATCATTCCTAAGATTAAATTCATAACAAGTCTTCAAAATGGCACCATTTCTACTTGCCAGCTGATACACGTGGCCATTTCTTTCTTGCAGCATGAGGAGAGAGCATTTGTATTGAAATTTTCAGCAATTGAAATATATAATGAAGTTGTAAGGGATCTTCTTAGTGCAGAAAGCACATCACTTAGACTTTGGGATGATGCAGAGGTCAGAGCAACAAATAGCTATATTTTTAATTTTTTAGAGAAAAGAAAGAGAAAGACGAAAAGGTATCCTACTGTCCCCATGCACTGATTATGGTTTTGATGCTGTTTATTTCTACAGAAGGGAACATATGTAGAAAATCTTACAGAGGTGATCTTGAGGGATTCGGACCACCTGAAAGAACTTATTTCTGTGTGTGAAGGTGTGTACTTTAGTAGTTTGGAACTCCTTTGTTTAATACATAATTGGTGATTATTATCATCTCAGTGTACTTTGTGTTCTTGTACCAGCTCAAAGGAGGACCGGAGAGACATACTTAAATGAAAACAGCTCCAGATCACACCAAATACTTAAACTGGTTTGCCTACTGCTTGGTTGCATGTAGAAAAGAAAAGGGCTTGGTAGATTCATGTAAAATAGCAGCTGCCTAATTCCATCACTTATGATTTGATAAATGATTCTTTCAGACTATCGAAAGTTCTGCTCGTGAGTTCTTGGGTAAGGACAAGTCAACAACACTTGTTGCTAGCGTGGTGAGAAAAAATAATTTACTCATATTTTTTTCATGGCACAAAATGGGTAAGTAAGTGTAAGCACGTTTGACTGTACCATGCAGAACTTTGTTGATTTGGCTGGAAGTGAACGTGCGTCTCAGGCATTATCAGCTGGGGCTAGGCTGAAGGAAGGTTGTCATATTAATAGAAGTCTACTTACCCTAGGAACTGTGATTCGGAAACTAAGGTGCAACCTTAACTCAGTGTTTCAGTTCCAGTTTAGCATGCTCCTCATACGATAAAAATATTCTTTGTTTTTTTGGAGCATCAGAGCATTTAATTGTTTACCTATTTTCATTTGTGCAGCAAGGTAAGAAATGGACACATACCATACCGAGATTCAAAGCTCACACGCATATTACAGCCTTCTCTAGGAGGCAATGCGAGAACAGCTATTATTTGTACAATGAGTCCAGCCCGAAGCCATATGGAACAGTCAAGGAATACCTTATTGTTTGCAAGTTGTGCAAAGGAAGTGGTGACAAATGCCCAGGTTAATGTGGTTATGTCTGATAAAGCACTAGTTAAGCAACTACAAAAAGAACTGGCAAGGTTGGAGAGTGAATTGCGATGCCCAACTTCATATGCCGGTTTCGAAGCATTAGTGAAGGAAAAAGATAATCAAATCCGGAAGGTAACTGCTACTTATGACTTTTTCATGTGTATTCATCTCACCACCTTTGTACATGAAGAAACATAGTAACCATAGTGAACTAACTACGCATCTTGCATTCGCCATTTATCATGCCAGTTGTCTTCACTGCAAAAATATGACTACTTCCATGGCATGATGTAAAATTTCACTTGTTCTTTGCAGATGGAGAGAGAAATTAAGGAACTGAAGTTACAACGTGATCTCGCTCAATCTAGACTGCAAGATTTACTCAAGGTTGTTGGAGATAACCACAGTTCGAAACACCCCCTGGTAGACGCACTTCACTGCTTTCTAGTTGATCAGCTTGACTGTTCCTTCATAACAAAAGAAATTTCTCTCTGTACAAATGTAGGTTTCTTCTGGAAGAAACTTTACTTTTGATGTTCCTCAGCCATGTGAGGATGAGCGATCGACAACATCAGAAGTTGTCAGCAGTGGCCAAAATTTTAGGCTTCAAGGACACCAGACAATACAAAGAGATTATAGGTCCCAGCAATCTGAAAACGATGTGCAGTTTTCTACCCCTCTTAACTATTCAGTCAGTAGTCCCCCATTCAGTGGGATGCCCCCAACTAATGGCAGAGATGATAGCTCTCAAATATCTAATGAAGATTCAGAGGATCTTTGCAAAGAAGTACGGTGCATAGAGACCAATGAAACCGAAGAAAATGAATGTTTAGAGTCGTCAGCTGCGGGACGCAATAGTCTGCAAGATTCAAATGTAGCTTCCAGCATACAAGGGGATAATCATCCAAATCGATCTGTGAATTCTAGACAGCAGGATGCATCTCCTATTACCCTGGAACAACATTTGGAGAATGTCAAAAAACCGTTTGCCAATCTTGGCATGGATCTGGGATCCTCTACACGTAACTCATCAAGCTCAAGAGTAATTGGCAGAAGCAGGAGCTGTAGGTCTCTGATGGGTTCTACTTTGTTGGAAGACTTGGAGAAAGAAGATTGCACCCCTCCAAGCAGAAGTTTCATGGACTACCCAGGGAGACCCGAAACATGTCAAAGAAGGGTACCTGCACTAAACTATGATGCAGAGAGTGAAACTTTATCCAGAGCAGGATCAATGCTATCTGAAATTATCACCGCTAGGGATGGACTGAAGGAAAACAGCTCTGTTGCTGGTGATACAGAATTTGTTGCTGGCATAGGTGAATTTGTCGCGGAGCTAAAAGAAATGGCTCAGGTACAGTATCAGAAGCAACGTGGTGATCAGGTGCGAAACTGGATATGTTCTGGTTTTCCTGCTGGCATGGCTCATCTTATTATTATCCTAATGAGATAAAATTTAGCACACAACTATGTCCTACAGTTTTTATTAGCTCATTAGAACAATCGCCTTTTTTATGTTATCATTGTCAGGGTGATAATGGAGAATTGGCCGAAGGGACCATAAGGAGCGTGGGTCTGGATCCCACTATGGATGCCTTGCAATCACCTTCGCGCTGGCCATTGGAATTCGAGAAGAAACAGCAAGAGATCATTGACCTGTGGCATGGATGCAACGTTTCCTTGGTCCACAGGACTTACTTTTTCCTGTTGTTCAAAGGAGACCCAGCCGACGCCATTTACATGGAAGTGGAGCTTAGGAGGCTATCGTTTCTCAACAATACATACTCCAACGGAAGCATGGGGCGTAACGTGGTAGCAGGCAGCGTGAGCACTTCTCTGGTTTCAAGGTAACTCATCTTTATATTTTTTTTCACAATTTTGCTGTATTGCATCACTCAGACTCAATGACCTGCTGTGCAGTGCAAAGAAGCTGCAGCGAGAGAGGGAGATGCTCTGCAGGCAGATGCAGAAGCGTCTGACGATCCAGGAACGGGAGAGCTTGTACACCAAGTGGGGAGTCTCGCTGTCCTCCAAGAGGAGGCGGCTGCAGGTCGCTGGGCGCCTTTGGACGGAGACCAAGAACCTGGAGCATGTGAGGGAGAGCGCGTCCCTCGTGGCCAGACTGATCGGGCTCCTGGAACCTGGGAAGGCGCTGAGGGAGATGTTTGGTCTGAGCTTCGCGCCACAGCAGTTCACCCGGAGATCGCACAGTAGTTGGCGATATGGCCGTTCTTCTCTAGACTGACTGAACTCGAAAAACGCAGCTGACCAAAAAAAAGGTTGCTCCCTCTTCTTTTTTTTTTGTTCTTGTGTAATAGATTGGCGTTGCCTTCTTGGAAATAGAAATTCCTGAACATTTTGTGACTAGTCCGCGAGGAAATTTGGTAGCATTTTCAAGATTTACACTTGTTTACAGTTACAATTTGCAAACCGTCAACGAGAAATCGACTCGGGCTAAGATAAAATAAAAAACAGATAAACAACAACGGTGGCACTGTTCCTTGCTGACGAATAACCAATGCCGCGAAGATGACGATCAATGTGGCCGAGCTAGATACCAGCCAAGATCATGGCGGTTCCCGCTGTCTTTGCCGGAGTCGGCGACGGGAACGACCGCGGCCCCGTGGGCCGTCCCACCCTGCATGGCCTCCTCGACCGCAGCCCACACCATGGCGTCCACGAAGTGGCAGGGCCTGCACGGGACGCGGATCACGTCGCCTTGCTGCACGCCGTACTCCGCCTCCGCCTCTGCCATCAGCGGCGCCAGGCGCTGGTGGCCGAGCAGCGACGCCGGGAGCACGTACTCGCGGCCGACGTGGCCCGGGACCTCGACGCGCACCGTGACGAGCCGCTCGGGCGACACTGCTGGCCCTCGGCGACGCCCCTGCTCCTGCTTCTTCTTGAATAGTAACATCGCGGCGGAGTCGTCTGCAGAAGCCGGTGACGACCTGGGAAGATTTTTGCGAACCCAATGACCTGGGAGAGTACTATTTATCTCCACTTGTCCAAAATCCGAGTCCGTTGCAATGCCTTGATCTGACTGACTATGGGACGGATAATGCTTTGAACGTGTCCCGCAAAACGGGCGCAGATGAAAATGAACAGAGCAAAGCAATCGTAGTTTTCCGAGTCCGTTGCAGGCAAGCCCGCCTTGGATGGCCGTCGTGCGCGACTAAATGGGCCACAAACAAAGGCGTCCCGAACGAGCCGCTGAAGCATAGGCCTTCTGAAGAGTTGTAACGGCAAAGGTTCATTTTAGCTCGCTGAACATTATCTCTAGTCTAATTCTTTTTTTTAACTTCAAAATCAGAAATCTTAAGCCCTGAACTTTTCAAGCCGTTCAAGTTACCTCACTGTCCTAGTTTCAAAGTGGTTTTTGAAGGTGGTTTTCTCATCTTTTAGTTCAAAAATTGATAAATACTTGACAAGGCTATTAAACCACAAAAAATGTCTCCAAGCTTCAAGAAATTTTGAAAAAAAAATCCTAGCTATAGATTGGAATATGATGAATTCAAATAAAATATTTTGAACTCATGTTTTTAGCTCTAGGAAAATAAAAAATCTCAAAATCTAGAAAAATCCCAAAACATTTCCGTTGATGTCTAAACATGTTCTTAAAACTTGCCACAACAAAAAAAACATAATACACAGCCAGCATAAATGCATAGCATGAATCCATTCAACATTAATATATGTTGCATTCATGTTGGTTGCATCTCATATTTTTATAGTGCAAAGTTTCTAAATATGTTCAAACAATGATTAGAAAATTTTGGAAATTTTCTAGTTTTTTGGTATATTTTTATCATTTTTCAAGAGCTAAATCTATTTTTTGAAGCTTCTAGATGTATTTTTCATGAGCTCTAAATATTTTACTTGGATTCTTCATATCCCAATCTATCTCTAAGTTTTTTTGAAATTTTTACAAGGTCAAAAACATTTTTGTGGTTGAAAAACCTTGTCAAGTATTTTCTAGATTTTTTTAACTAAAAAAGACAAATTCCGCTTTTAAAACCACTTGAACCATGGCATGGAGGTAATTTGAACCGTTTTAAGAGTTCAAGAGTAAGATGTCTGATTTTAGAGTTTGATTTGAGAAAAAAATCCGACTACGATAATAGTCTAAGAATGGATAATAGACTTCTTTTTATTCTAACTGCCTTCCACGATTCCACAGGTTAGGTCTAGCAGATGATGAGTTGTGCTCCATCCTCCCTTTATTTCCAGATAGATACCTTAGAAAGATCTCATTATAATTTTTTCACAAATACCAGCGAAGATGAAAATCAATAATTTTTTTTATCAAATCAAATCTTAGGGTCCGTTTGGATCCTTAGAATTGAATTCATTCTAATAATTATAATTTAGACATAGATTAATTAAGCTAATATAGTTGTATATGGAATATATTTGTATATTTATTGTTAGGCATGTAAGGGACATACTTATATGTTGCATTTTTATTGTAGAGAAGTGAGTTGAAGAGTGTGCTATAAGTTGGAGAGTAGAGTTATAGCATAGTGATCTATAGAATCCATTTTCATCTCGAGATAGACTTATTTGTAAGCTTGAGAAAGTTATAAAATATCAAATTTCAATCCAAACAGCCTAATCTATTATGTAGATTTTAAGGCACATTCTCAATCTGTTTGCCAGAGCTATTAAGAGCTTCCAACTTTGGTTTAGTAACATATAAAATACGGCCTATTTCCTGTGCAGTAGGCCGAGTTTTTGTGAGAGGAAAACACGAGTTGATACGAGTAGTATGACTATGGATTGTCAGAATTCTAAAACCAACGTGTGCTCATCATTGATAAGTCCTCCAAAACGAAGGACGGATCCTTAGAGAAAATTTAGATTCAGCTTACTCATACCAGGGAGAGCACATTCTACAGTCTGTTTGCCAGAGCTATTAAGAGCTTCCAACTTTGGGTTTTAGTAACATATAAAATACGGCCTATTTCCTGTGCAGTAGGACCGAGTCACGAAACGGGGAAGCAGCGAGCGGATACGAGTATACGACTATACGATTGTCCAGAATTCTAACATGTCACACCGTGTGCTCATCATTGATACACCCACGTGAACAGTGAGCTGTTCTGAACCACTTGTGATAATGTGATCTTCCGGGATCAGATAAGGACGATGTAAAAAGCATAGAACATGACTTCACCGGAATGCTGTCCCAGCAAGTAATGTTCAGAGTACTCGGTAAACAATTAGTATAATGCTGGATGACAAAGAAGAGGATCAGCACTAATGGGCTTGGGTAGTTGAGTGTCATAAAGGGCGGTGGAACGAAAGGAAAACATCTGATAGTCGTCTGGTATTATATGCGCAAGTGCGCTGCATTTTCTTCGCTCTACTAGGTCGTTGTTGTTTCTTGCAGGTACACACGGCAGTCGACAGAGAGGACTTGGAGTCGTCATTTGGACAAGGCAACGGTTTCAGGCGCCGACGGGGAGTTTCAGTGTGGTCGATCGTGTGTTTAAAGACCTGCTAACTGGTGGTTATGGATAAGCGTCTTCTCTACCAGTGAGTCAGGCACATTTGCTTCCCTGCTAGTAGTTTATATGGATATATATCATTTGAGCAGCAATCAACAACAACAAACTTTGTTTTGTCAAAGAAAAAAGCTCACATGCAGGAGAGAGAAACTCCCTGCGAAAAGGAAGATGATAGATTAAAAGTAATAGGATGATCAATCCTTCGTTTCAAAGAAAAGACGAAAGTTTGCTAAAGTAGAAAATTAGGTGCTGACATAATCTACGGAGCATCCCACAAAAGGCATAAAAGCATCCCAGTTTCATCTACAGCAACTCTTTGTTGTCGCGGAAAAGCACAAAACCAAGACAACGTAAGATGATGATAGAGCACTACTAAAAAGAATGCACGGCACCCACGCTTCTGACGAAACAGCATCATTTTTCTAATCGCAAGTCGACCCATCTTACCTTCTTTCGTTGTCAGAGAACATAATATGTTTAGGCTACTTAAACTCCCAACCCAAATATGATATTTTTTGGCGATACCGACGTTACTTTTTTTTAAGATAAAATACCGGCGCTACCTATGATGAAACACTTAGGTAACTATATTTATTAGAAAAAATATCTTTTTTTGGCCATCTAATTATTGCTTGAGTGTCGAGATTACTTTTGGTCATGCAAGGCTAAAACCAGGAAATGATAAACTTGGCCATCTAATTGGTTTTAAAGGTAGTTTTGTGTTCCGATAATAATAAAACCGGGTTTGTTTTCTGAAAACTCCATAACTAGTTTAATTTAAATGAAAAATTGAAACAAGAATAAAATTTATAGAAATATAGTGTGTCATTGATACTAGATTTAGTGCAATTTGGATTTGTTTATAGTTCTCCCTAGTGTTTTTTTGGTGAATCATAGTACAAATACCAACAACTCACATGCATGCACGCACATTCACCTCCCCTACAAGCATCTCCAAAGAGACTAAACTGAAAATCTTGAGATTGAGATTGACGATGTCACCACAAGCGTCTCACTATCAACGGATAGATCGCCTACCATTGAAAGAATAGTACCATTAAATTATAAAAATAAATTCATGAAAATACAAGCACCTACATCAAGTCGAGGACTTATTCGGTGGTTAGGTACCACCACACAGAACCCTAACCGGTCGAGTTACACTCAATTTTGAGTTCCTAGGGTTTTATTGCTCATATTCTTGCCCTTTATTTATTTAAATCATAATTTTGTGTTATATTAAATTGAAGATGAATCAAGGGAATCCATATTCCGAATGGCTTGGTCACTATTGTCATTATGATAGTAGCCGCTATGTTTGTCATCATCGAAGGCTTCATTGCTTTATCCTCTATTGTGGTTGTTGTCTTGCTGCATGGGGTTGAATAAAATAAAGCTCCACGCCCACCGCCACCTAGATCTGTTCTGCCTCACCTCGGCTTGAGTTGCCACCGGCTCAGATCCGCTCGCTTTTATCGCATCTCCGGTCAGAGGTGGATCCGGCCACCCCAACCTCTTACAATATCCTATGAGAATGTGAGTACCCAACTATTCTATCTTGGTCTTAAGTTATCTCGTTGGTGCCAAATCCGAGAACGAAGATTGATTTTGAGGTTTCAATGATTGATGGGCACAAGTGTTGTGACTAATGCGTGTTTTTGTAGTGGTAATCATATTTGAGTTAGTCATAATTTGAATGGCCACAAATGACTTGGCCCTGAATACTTGGTTTGATGTTTGGTGTATGGTGCAAAGGATATTTGTGAAGACTTAGGACACTATAGTGAGAATGTAGGATGTGTGCATGGAGACATTTGTTGTAGTGTGTATTAAGGTTTTGTTTTTCCTTTGGTCATGCTATGAGGGGAGGGGGTACAAGGCGTTCATCTTGAGGGAGTCAAACCAAGGTAATGTGGATGCACATGAAGCTAATTCTCACTCAAGATGATGATAGTAAGTGGCCCCATTAAAGTGGTTTCAAGTCAAGAATCTCAAAGAAGTTGGAATGATCGATATCGAACTTGAAAACACAAAAAAAATCAGCGCCGCAGTATGCACCAGATGATAGGGTTGATCCTTGGCGAATCGTCCAGTGGTACCGTTTCCCAGTCAAAAGTGACTTTGCCGGTGACCAAGTGGTCACCATATGATTTGGTGGGGACTGTATGACCTCGGTGGATCATCCAGTGAGGCACAACTTGACTTATTAGTGTTTCGTTGACCAACCCATTGAGCCGTATGATTCGGTAAGACTATGTGACTCACAATGGATCATCCTACGAGGTACAACTTGACTTAGTGACTTGTTGGCAGGTTTACTAGAGTGCGCCATATGACCCGGCGTTATTTGTGTGAATCATCCGCTGGGCCAAGCTTGAGTGAGTGATATAAGTTGGTTAAGTCTCTA